TGTAATAATTCTTTAATATATTACTTGTGTGGTGTAGAAGAGAATAGAAGTGAATCATTTATTGCTTGCAAACCAATGATGGTAAGATGATGTCATGGGGTAGGACTGGATAAGTCTGACTTCTTCCTACTCCATTCAAGCATGTACTAGGTATAAGCAAATTGATATTGGATTATGTGTAAAATTATGTGTGTTGTCATATCAACTGTTTTACATGCTTGAAAGAATAAATCAAATCAAATCAAATCAAATCAATAGACTGTTATAATGTCATAAGACCAGTCTACAGTACAACAACAGAAGTGAACGTGTCTCTCTTAAGAAGTTCACACAGGCTTCATTGCAATCTCGCACATTTCCAAAATGGAAATTCATCCAGGAACATTCAATACTAATATCACCATCATGTTCATCTCTGGAGACCTACAGCACATTTGGTCAGGAATTCCAATTTGGTTTTCTTTGTATAATGCTGAAGATTTGCAAATTAGTAATCAAACATTTCATAGTTCTGGAGTCCAGAGCTCATCTACAGTAACTACTGAGCCCTGCACTTGGGAGAAATGTCATTGTTTTTAGAATTATTCAGCTATGAGATTGAAATACTTATTTGTAATAATGTTGCCCTTGTCTGTTGTTGTGACAGTTTTATGGTAACACCCTTTAAGGTTATTGGCTTTGGCTTTGTAGTCATTGTATACAGGCATTTGTGTTATTGAGACACCAGACCGTTTATTGTGTCAGCATGTTCGTAAAGATTTCCTGCCTTTGTGTGACTGCTGAACAGATGGCTTGTGTCCTGTTTTAACTGCTATCCTGGTGCCTATCTGTTTGAGCATTTGTTCCCTGCAATTGTGTGTGTGTGTATAAGAGGAGAAGTCACAATTTGTGCCTTTTGGGCTTCTCTCCTACAGCCTGTGTTTGTTTAGAGATTGTTCCTTCCTGCAGGAATAAATATGTAATAACTCTCAGAGTTGATGTTAAGTTTTTATTTTACACTCACTGAGCTTTAATATATAATTTTGCCACAACAATTCTGGCGACAAGGATGGAATCCCTCGAGTGGTCATCCGGGATGTCCATCAGCTAGGGCCCAGCCTGGGAACAACAATTTTCTCAGCCCCAAACCTCATCCATATTTCTGAGTGATTGGGGACTTTTAGAAGACACCCTGGCGGGATCCAAGTATCCAAAGTTTGGAAAGAAATTATTCTCTGTGGTGAGTGCTAAATAAATTGTTCAAATACATTGAGAAGAGTGTTAAATTAGTAAATTGGGAAAAGTTATTCCACTA